AGGCTTCAAGAAGAACATGCTCTCAATGAATAAAATCCATGTAAGAAGTCTTAATTATGGCTTGAGACATGGAAATCAGTTAAATTGTCTCATGTACTTGCCCAGCAGTGCAGATTGAGTGGGGACACATTCTTGAAGATGTCATATTTACGCGCAACTCAAGTAGACGTTCTCCATATTAACATTCTAGTAATGAAACTTCTTTCCTGTCCTCTTGTGATTGGAATGAAGACTTGATAGCTTTGGAATCAACTGAAAACCTATCTTCATCCAAGCTTTGAACTTACACTAGAACATCATCTCAAGTTCTTCTGTGATGCCAGGCTGCTGCTTTATTATTTTAATTTTTATAGTTTTATATGGCTTTATTGGTTTATTTTATTCTACCATTATTTACATCCTGTCCTTGATCTCTCCTTCACTGGACCTTTCTTGATTTTTTTCTTCCTTGTGAGTAGATATTCCAACTTAATCTGTCTATTCCAATGACGATGATGATGATGATGATGATGATGATTTCACTGAGGTCTCTCTTGTTATATCTGCAAGCTAACAGGTATTTTAACTCTGAGGGTCTTATTTCTCTTTTAGTTTCAACAATGAAACAAAGCAATTGTTATTTATATTAACTCAATATACTCTAGGATTTATAGGCCGATATTTTCAGATACACACACATACAGAAGATAATTCACAACTTTCACTCTGGACAAGTCCTTTGTGGGAATTTTCAGAACTGAAAGACAAATGCTTCCTAGAGTTTTGCCTGAACTTGTAAAATATCAAACTGGAGTGAGGGGTATACACACTGACTTCATTCCCAACAATTCCACATGCATCTGATTCTACCACCTTATCAGTCAAATCAGAGAAATGTATTTGTGATATTATTAGGAAGTAAGGGAACAGAGCTTGACATGCATAGAAGTTTTGCAATTTGAATCCTCATGAATACTGATACATACCTGAAAAGAATTTCTGAGATTACAAAAGCCAAAATATTGTGATTAATAGACGTTTTCAGGGAAATACCATTCTCTTATGGATTGTATAAGCCTTTAAAATGTTAAGAATTACAGACATTGATTTTTAATACAAAACAGTTTCAGAAAATGGGGTCTACAGCCAGGTTACATGTCCAGTTAACTTAGAAGTACATCCTTCTTAAGTTCTTGCAACTTATTCTCAATCCCCTATGCATTTGACTGTAGCCAAAGTTCATGATAAATATAAAATGAAGGACAGAGGTAGCCAAGGGATATACTTTAAAATTTGGGAGGGAAAATGCTGCAGTGGCTGGAAAAGTATCATACATATGGGTGGGGCTGGATATTTCTAAGCTTTCTTTAAGCTCACAGGCTTAATTCTTTTTTAGGAAAAAATGGTGCTAATGTTCTTTTAGCACTTATCCTATAATTTTCTTACAGTTCTCTCCTTCAAATGACAGAAACAATGTCACCAATTTTGGCAATTGTGCCATCAAATTTTGGCCTGCAGTTGAAGTGTATTCAGGGGAGCAAAAATAAGAGGCTCAGGAACTCATATGTTCCTGGGCCCCAGATTACTCACTCCTGTCACAACAGTGACAGCACTTAGGATAGCAATTAATTTCCTCTTCCTCTCCCCAGGATTTCTGTTTTGTTTTAAAACCTGAACAAAAGTCAACCACGTTGTTTCAAAAAGAAAAGGGGGAGGGAAAATAATGGCAATCTGCCAAGAGATTAATTGCATTGCATTGTCTACTATGATGGTTGTGATTGCTGAATCTCAGTTGAGAAGCAGGTAGATCTCTGCTCACAAGAGCTGCAGTGCTACAAAGACAACGGACATCCAAATTGCATACCAAGTGGCTGTGCATTTAACTGATTTCTCTTATTATGAAAGATATAACTGATATGAAGTTATAAAGATCCATGGCCATTATACAATGAATTTCTGTCGGAAAAACTGTGCAAGGCAAAACACGGATCTCAGCTAAGCATACTGCTTGCACATTTTACAGCTGACATGTGCCATAAGGTGATTTCATAAGAATATTTCAAAAGCAAGTTCATTTACAACAGGCAAATAAATATTATTCTTATCAGCCCCAGCTCTTAGGCTTCTCTCTATTTGCTGAGGACCAGTGTGGAGCTGACAACTATAGCCCTTTTGTTAGGAGAGAAAACAGTTGTTCCACATCAACTGATTATGGGATGGGTAAAACTGGATCTGTTCAAAGTAAGGTTGTAATAAGTCTTTCCCTGTATTCTCCACATAAACAATTGTGCAGGGGGGAAGGTTTTATGTGCCCAATATCCTCTAACCCCTACACCCATTGAGAAGAATGTCTGCATAACAGTGACCATTCCTGTTCAATTGGGCTACATGCAATGTTTAGGAAGCCTTCATTCTGATCACATGGAGCACTCATGTCTGTAATCCTTTTTACCCATTAATGCACAGATGTAGGGATTATTTTGATTGCGGTCCCCAAAGGAATAGTTGTCCTCTGTCACACATTTTCACAAGAACATAAGAAGGGCCCAACCGGATTAGATCAAAACCAGCATCTAGTCCAATGTCCTGCTTCTCGCAGTAGCTAAACAGATTGCTTCTCAGAAATCCACAAGCAGGACATGAAGGCAGAAGCTCTCTCTTTCTGTAGATCCCCAGTGACTAGTATTTAGAGACTTGCTTCATAAACCTGTCACAACTGGTAGCCACTGATGATAGTTCTCCCTCAATATAACTCCCCCTTGAAGCCATCCAGGTTAATGGCAATCAATATCTCCTGAGAAAGCAAAATAGTTTAAAAGTATACTATATAAGAAGTACTTTACTGTATCTGTCTTATATTTCCCACTAATATGTTTTTATTAGATGGTACAGAAAAAATTCTCAGCCCACTTTGTCTAAACCAGCAATCATTTTAATATTGATTAATTGATTGATTGATTGATTGATTGAGCCTTTGAGTCGTTGTTGACTTCTGGTGACTGCCTGGACTACTCCTTGCAGTTTTCTTGGCAAGATTTTGGAGGTGGTTTGTCATTGCCTGCTTCCTAGGGCTGAGAGGGTATGACTAGCCCAAGGTCATCCAGCTGGCTTTGTTTCTAAGGTGGGACTAGAACCCATGGTCTCCCAGTTTCTAACCCAGTACCTTAACCACTACACCAAACTGGCTCTTATTTTAATCTATTACTCCCATTTATTCATCTTTTTTTTAATTAAAGAGTCTCAAATATTATAACTTTCCTTTATATATTTGTTCCTCCAGTTCCCCTGATTATTTTAGTTATCTTTTTCTGCATTTTTCTAACCTACAATCCTTTTGGAGTAACAACCACAACTATACAAGGTATTCCAGTTAGGATAATCATGCAGATTTCATTGAAGGACGTATTAGTTCTTGTTCTTAAAAAAACAAAACAAAACTGCACATACAGTGTATTCATATGTATGGATCAAGGAAAATAATACATAGAGGAGAAGTGCAGAAACTTTGCCCACTGATTCTTTTTGCCAACTTTGTACCCAAATCCATGCATTTATCCAAAACTGTGAACAGAACCTATCAACATAATATTATTTACTTTCTCTCTCTCTCTCTCTCTCTCACACACACACACACACACACACACATCTTCCTAGCATTTTTCCTTACATGTGCAAAGTCTACTTTTTTCAGGTCAACCAAATGTTTATCCATTGGTTGCAAAAGGAATTGACCAACTGGCTTGTTGCCCGAGCCTGACATAGGGGGCTAAGAGAGGGTGACTGGCCCAAAGCTGGCTTTCATGCCTAAGGTGGGA